TGCAGAAGCCAATTCTTTAGGATAGATATTAAAAGAAAGAGAAAGAAAGAAAATGGACAATTGTTCAATGGATTGAGCAGAAGCCATTTGTTAGAAGTTACAGCAGGTATTTATCCCCAAATTTTACACAGACAATCTCACAAGTCTTTCATGTAAACACAAAGCCAGGTGCAGGAGGGGCATCCTCCACCCACCAGGTGTTTCCACAGGCATGAGGAAAAACACTCCCAAGTAAATCACAAAACTTTTACATGAACACAAAGCCAGGTGAATGAGGGGTATCCCTCACCCATCAGGTGTTTCCTCGAGTATGAGGAAGGGCAATCCCAATTAAATCACAAGACATTTACATGAACACAGAGCCAGGTGGATGAGGGGCGTCCCCCACCCACAGGTGTTTCCCCAAGCATAAGGAAGGAGGATCCCAAAACTATCTCACTGTTCTTTATGCTTGGTTAATATTCCTCAAAAGCAATACAACAATTCTAATATCATAATATTCTAATAATCAATAACTTTTAAAACTTATGCATACACAACACCTAATAACCAACCTAAATCCCAATTCCTCTCTATTTTACGCTAATTCTACCTACACTATAGAAACTCTCAACCATAGACCAAACCAGTTCCTAAAGAATGTGGCCCAGTCAAAAGATCACACTGGGCCCTTAGGAACGTGGCCCAGCCCAAAGTTTGTGCTGGGCCATTTCTAGTAACTCTAGATAATTATCTATATTATTAGAGTTGAAACAGCACTTTATATGTATATACTAATTCTACAAATATACTTTTAAATCTTAAAAGAAGCTTGTACCGTATTAAAGGCTCCCAAATGTGACCTGAGTTTGAATTATGTTAAGTTTAAAGCCAAAACCACAGTCTGTGAGAAACGGAAACAATGGACTCCTAAAGTAAGCTATGCCTGTCGTACTCTCAGAACTTCATGCTTAGATCACTGAAGTCCCTGCTAGTGGGATGTGCTAAACAACAAAGATGGGAAGAGGGAATGGGCCATCAGCTCCTGAACTCATCCTAGTGGTCTCAGGGTCCGCAGCCTGCCTGGATCCCTAACGCTCAGACGGGCCTCCTCAGCCAGCTCCCAACGCTTCTCAAGGCTGATAACCTCACTTTACAATCAGATATAAAGTGTAGCCTCAGGAAACACTAAGTGTTTTGTAATTACTCTCAGGGATAACGAATCCAATCTTAATCACATCAAAATGAAGCTCACTGAAAAGGAGGCAGATAATTTCTAAAGTTCAAGTAAAAATTACTGAAAAACTAGCTCATTGGTCCATTTTTTCAGTTACTCACATATTTGTAGCTAAGTCAATCTGGTAGTCTCAGTCTGGAGGTGTTTCCCAAAATCAGAACTCCTCGTAAGAGCACAATGGGTTAAAGATATCACCTCCTCTTAAGCTTGTCTTGGTTCCAATGACCTTAACAGGGACTGAGTAGGTAAAGATCTGGGTTGGCATGGTTGTTCAGAAACCCGCTTTGTTTCAGATTCAAATGACTTTTGAGAAAACTCTCAGTCCTTTCCATCTGTTGCCACTGCCTTGGGCTCATATTCATACAGTGAAAACCCCAAATCCAAACAGCTGCCACTCCACATTTGTAGGCAGGAAGGTCGCAACAGATAATTCATGACCTTGGGGAGTTGGCAGAAGAAAAATCACGCAAATGAACAGGAACATTCAGTGAAAACAGATTGTCATTACTATGAAGAACCAGAATCACCTGCTATGCTATTCAATACAGTAGGCAATAGTCACATGTGACAACTGAAATTCAAGTTAATTAAAAATATGGTAGAAAACTCCATTCCTCAGCACACAAGCTACATTCCAAGTGCTCACTAATTACCTGAGCTAGGGGTGATGGTATCAAACAGCACAGATACAGAACGTCACCATCACCACTTCTGTTGAATAGTGCAGAAGACTATGCATCCAGTTAGTGGTGTGTGCGCCAAATATGAACACATATTGCTTACTGAGCTACTGGTTTAAAGGCCTTATTTCTTTGTTACATCAGCCTTGATTTTTCATCATAAAAAAGAAAGTTTCTTCACGTTGTATTAAATTTTTGTTGAAGAAATGTTGTTTTGTTTGGATTTATGCACTGAAAATAGGAAAAAGTTTTGTTTTCTAAAAAGTGAGAACTACTTCTATTTCCTTCTATGCCTTGGCAACAAGAAAACTCAGAATTAACTTAATGCTTAATTGCTGTAACTATTATTAATTCATGCTTCCAATAAATGTTCTTTCCTTCCCCCATAAAATTTTTGACATTACTCTTTCTATTTTAATGTATTCTAAGTATTTTATTGTAAGGAAACTCAAACTCCTTTTGGAAATTAATTTACATTAATAAATTGTATATGCATAGAACTCTACTGCCCTCTTTGTTTCAAGAATAAAAGTTCTAAGCAAGACACGAAGTAAAGTTTTTTTCCAATAATAAATTTATAACATTCATTATATAAATAAACATTATCTACATCAATGCCAAAGACCATTTTATAAAATTAAGTAGTTATTCTTAATAAAATTTCGAAAGATAAAAAAGCTTAAATATGAAAATTACCAAAACTTAATAGCAAAAATCATATTAATTGGTGAAGTGTTGGCATTTCCATTAAAATCAGAAATAAGGATAACCTCCATCATCATCATTCAAACATTGAGTACTATTTTAAAGAGAGAAAAATCCTGCTCTAGCGGCTACAACTAACAGCTGCATAGGATGCATTTGGCACAGGATCTGAATTAGGGGGGAAAAACCCTATAAAATCTTATTAAAGGGCATAAAATAAGACATTAGAGTGACATATTCCTGGCTATAGAATCTTAAAGTCATAAAAATATCCATCCCTCCCAAATTAATGAAGTTTAATTCAATATCATGCTTCTTAGGAGTACGTTCACCTGCAAGAAAACGTTCAGCTAACGGTGGCTTAAGTCGCAAAAAACATTTAATGACTTAACACTGAAAGTAGTCTAGAGAAAGGAAACACAAGGACAGTGCAGTGGTTCCCTAGTACCATAACAACCCAGGCTCCTTCTTTCTGCCTTAGGATTGTCGGTTTGTGGCTTCACATTTCTGAAAGAGCTGTTGCAACTTCAGGCATCACATTCAAGTTCAGGGCAGGAAAGAAGGGGATAAGGGAACAGTGCTAGATATATCTTCAGTTCTCTTTTAAAATAAAAAGGAACAAGTGTTTTTCCAGAAGTCTACCGCTAGTCTTCCATCGTGGTGCACTGGCCAGAACCACATCATGTAGCTACTCCAGCTGCTAGCAGGCTGAGGGAGTGAGCCCCTAGCTCTTCTGGGCTTCGCAGTGGTGGGAGGCTAGGGAGTGGAGGTCACTGGGAATGGGTGTATAGTCAACTAAGTGTGAGAGCATATCATGCATTTTCATCAAAATTCCATTTTTCCTTTCAAACTGCTGACTCTGCAACTAGAAGGCAAATTCCAGAAGAGGAGAGTTTTTGCCTGCATACCCCACTGTATTCCTGGTCCTTGACATGTAGTTGTCTGCGTGATGAACAATGTCACTGCTAAACATATCTGTTTTCTAAAATATCCGTTTCTAGAATGGCTCTTCTAGACGATGGATGCTTCAGTGTATCAGAACCACACCTTTAGTTTTCCATACTATGTCTGAACATGGAATTATTAAGTAGGAAGGTCACCTGGCCTCACCCCTGTCTCACTCCATCATGACAATTCCCAAAGGTGGCATGGCTGCTCATGTCTGGCTTAAGTCTCACAAGTGAATCTCTTAAGGTTTGCTGAGTGCTTACTGAGTGTCAGAAACTGAGCTTAATGCTTAACACGCAGGATCTTATTTGTATTCACAATAATCCCATGAGGAAAATACTAGTATTCCCATTTCACAAATGAGAAAAGATGAGGCAAAGCAGCTCAAAACAATACAAGTTAGTGGCAGGTCGACTAGCCCTGCATTCCAAGCTCTGAAGCATGGAGCAGTTACCACTTCCAGTTTCAACACAGTCCATCCCACCGCAAAAGGAGTGTTCATCTATTGGGGTAAGGCAATGGGCCAGTCTTTTACTTCTACTCACTGTCTTAGGTCTGGAGGAACTAGTTCAGTAAAGTCTGTTCACTGTACAGCAAGCTCACTCTATAAAGGTTTCAGGATGATTAATATTTTCAGACACTGTGTTATTCTGGTCACCTGCTTTTGTATTAAACAGTTTATAAGAGTCCCTCTCAAAATGTAGCATCCCAAAGGAAGCTCAACACTGCAAATCTGTTTACCAGATAACCAGAAAGACAGACTATCCTCTGTATAAAACTGCCATTATATTTACACATCAACGTTGTCTAAGACTGCAACAAGCTTTTTCTTAACAAAGTTTATAGTATTTTTGGCTGACAAACTTTCCAAACAGTTTTCAAATTCTTTGCTGCCAACCCAGTTTTCTCTCATGAGGTTCCGAAAGTACACCCAGGACTTATATTTAGCCATGTTAAGTTTCAATTGTTTTGATTCAGTCATTCTGACCTAGTTGAGTATAATGTCCATTACATGCATATTTACATTTACACACACATAGCATATATCATCCCCATATTCTCCACAAAACAGAATACATTTATATATATTAATGTTGATTCAAAACAAATATATATAATTATTTCCTAAGTTCCTTTAGTTAAATACAGTAAGTATTGAACATTAATCCTTTTCATACACTGTGATGAAAAATGTCATAAAAACATTTAACTTTGTTGATTGTGATCATTTGTCTACAAATGTCCTATAGTTAAAAAAAATTTCATAACACATATTACAGTAACTAATTCTGGTTAAGAAAAAAATCTAAAAAATTGGACTATGGTAATAAAATTTTCTTCCTTGGTAAAGTAGAGAACTCAGAAGCAAGTTTATGGTACCAACATGTTGTGACATGCAAATTAATCTACCTTTTGAAAGATTTTATTCAAAAGATAACCAACTCAGAACGTGCTAGTTACATGTTACAATGTCTTTTATTTACAAATTACATAGAATAATTTAATCATATTATTATTTCAATGTTTACAATGGAAGAGACAAAAGTTTAAAGAAGCACTACTTTTCACTGTCAAAATTCTATTCTGTTCTTACATACAAAAGGAGTATCTATGTGCCATTTAGTATTTAGAGGATTAATTTATTCTATAACTCATGGATTCTATAGATAAAATGTCTGGTAGAAAAATGATTTAACCTCTTTGTATATAACTCATTTTTCTTATTTGTAAAATAATCAGCAACTAAAGGCAAAATTGTTTTAAAAAACACCTATTAGGAAGAAAAAGAGAATAATTCCCTGCTAATACAAATTCATTTTTAAAAATTGAATTAAACTCACATATTCAGAGTGTAGTTTCACTTTTGTTTGAAATGAGTTAATTCACTTCTAGCTGATCAATTAAACTACTGAAAAAGATTTTCTTTTTAAATGTGGAAAAGTCCAATTAACCAGTAGACATTTCTAACAACCTCTGGAACATGCCACCTATAAACCAATTTCCTCAACATGTAAGCAAGTCGCAGAAAAATTAAAATCATGTTTAACACGATAGCTTCAATTAAAAAACAAATCAAAGTATAAAGAATTGCCCATGCTTGACTTCAAGAAATGCTTACCATAGGTAGAACTCTACTGCCCTCTTTTGTATCATGGCTGTAACCAACACAAGTGCCAACAGGGTACCTCCTAGAAAGTACCAAAAGGCAATGGTTTAAGAGGCTTGTTTTCCCAGCTGGGTAGGGAACTACTAGGGTAGGGGATGTTGGCCTACGTGCTTCATATGTATGGTGTCTCATAACTTTCTGTTGGATGAATGAATAAGATACATTTGTATAATTACCATTTATTTTGATGAGCACTCCCCATTTTAATGTTGCCTATCCAATCAATCTTGCTTCCAAATCCAAGAATCTTTAATAATTTGTGGCAAACCTTTGTTTGCCATCAGGCTACCAGACTCCATCTAAGCTTTCTCTGACTGATAGATATACCTTTGTAAAGACCCAATCTGATGGAGGAGGTCAGGAAAGACATCTATAGCAGCTGGTTTTCTCACTTAGAACACTCCTCACCTTCACTTACCCTAAAAATTGACCTAAAAGCAGAGGCACAAAGAGGTTCTGCTTCTAATGTAGAAATACAGAAAATGAGCTACTTATCACTGTGAGTCTACCCATCCACCTCCTCAGAAGAAGATGTGCACTTTACATTCTCCAGACAGCTCTGGCAATACTCATGTGCATCAGCTTACACCCTACCTGTGTATGAAGAGGGGATATTCTCTCAGGTCCAACCAGTGAATCACGATTATTGAAATCTTTCAGTGGAATAAAAAGTTATATACTGCTTTAATGACGATACAATAAAACTCTGTAATCAAAGAGTGAGACAATGTTGCCTCTTCTTTCCAAATTTTAATTTGTATTTTTTTGAGTAGAAAACACATTTCTCATTCATCTAACCAATTAACTCAAAAGAAAAAATACTCTGATTACAAGCATGCTTATAAAAGAAACACTTTTAGCAAGATATTAAAAAATATCTTCAGAAAGTTTTATAAGACACTGGCATAAAACAATGTTAAATAAAGTATCTTAGAAGTGACAAAATCGGTTTTCCTAACTCTAATTCCTTCAAAGAAGCATTTGCACTTATTCTCTTGGTTTAAAACTAAAGAAACCCTCTAATTACTTTGTTTCATCCAAATCAATTGACCATATTAGCTAAATTGCATAAAGTCTATGAGGATGGGTTTTGTAAAAGCTATAAACCACACTTAAGGCAAACCTGGTAATTTGTTATATAGCACACTAAAATGGACCTTTGCTAATAAAATGCCTCTAACATACTCAGAGCTACAGCTTCAAAGGGTACATCTGTACCTGTTGCACATCTGATCCTCACAGCATTCAAGGAGGTGGAAAGACAACGATGCTCCCATCTTATGGAAGAGAAAACTAAGGTGACTTGTTCAAGGCCACAGAGTCTGATCAGTGGCACAAACATATTTATCAATGGCCTTGGAATACAGGGTAGGGTTTTCTATTGGTAGACTTACCTTCCTAACCACATTAAGATATGATCCAAGCATCAAAACAAGTGTGAGTTCCTTCAGGTCTGGAAAACACGACTACAGCCATAACGGGTGACAAGCAAAGACAGCTCAAGAGTTGTCACATGCTTACTGATTTACAGTAAACACTGGGATACAGAGGGAAGTTGTCAGGAAGGGGAAAAATGATAGGAAAGCGTGTCATCTCGCAAGCTTCCACCAGCGCCTAGAATAAACTAGAACCGGAAAAAAAGCACTCTTAAATTGGAAGGTGACAATCAAACCAAGGGGAAAAATGATGTAGAAACAGAAAGGCAGAAAATCATCCATCTCTAAAGCTTAGGGGCTTAAGGTGGTTGGCATATCCCCATGTAAATCATTCTAAGACATCTTTGAGGTAGGCAAATGCTAGAAATAAACTAAGTTCATGAAAAAAAAAGAAGAAGAAAGCACCAAGGAAATGTCCTAATTTTAATGCTACCTTTAAAAAACACTCTACTACCCATAAAACCTCTTTCCGTAAAGTGCTTAGGCGTCAGTCATTTTATTCCTGTATTCAAAGACTGATATTAAGTATATCAAAGCTAAAGGTCAAAAGCCAAGATGAGCTTTTATAAAAAGCCTCAAAGCCTACCAAAGTTCCCGTAAGTTTATAACTGTTTATCCCTTCTTTGCCTCATGCCCTGGTAAGTTCCTCCTCAGTTTTCAAGCCAGCTCAAATTCATATCCTTGCAAAGTCTCCCTGAATCCCTTGGTCAGGTGCCGTGTTCTTCCTTCCCAAAGTCCCAATGCCCCGGCATGCTGCTGTCGCTGTGCTGTGACTGTGTACCCACTTGTCCCTCCACTGGACTGTAAGCTACTTCAGAGGCAGACAACTCACAGCTTCTTCATTTTTAGATAGTCAGGCCCTGGCACTTGGGGGGTACTCAAAACAATCAATCGCTCACCTTAGCTATCATCTCTCAAACAGTTCATTTCATGTAAGGAGAATAAACTGGAGGTTTGTAAGTTTCACAAGAAATTCAATAAATTATCCTGCAAGTGAATTAGTCTGTCGGGGCACATAACAAGGGTACAACCTTAGTCCCTCTTTCAGTTCCATTTTTTTAAAAAAACATTTCTCTCATTAAAATACCCTTATGCACTTAGTCAAATTAAGTACCAAGATGGCAACAAACTATATGATTTTAAAATGATATAAAAACACATCTTTCTGATACTAGATCAGGTAAATATAAACAAATTCCTGTGTTTGAACATTGTTTCTAAGCACTTAATGAATTTGAGAATCTTAATTGCCACTTGAAATTTTCTGTTTCTCTAGAAAACAAACATTATGAACCTGATGAAGGAACACAGCTGTTCAAAGGGACGTATTTTTGTACTTGTTTTGCTCCGATTTCAGCTACGTAGATTGCTCCAGTCTTTCTGTCGACTTCTAAGAGATGAGGCAGAACTTCATCTGCGAGCTGGATTGTGCTGACCACAGAACAGGCCCCAATGCTGCCCACTGGGGGAGCTGCCATGATTGAGAGCCTGCTGAGGTTCAGCTGGGCCACCATCAAGTACTTCCCATCGGGAGTAAATCTAAGAAGAAACACGTTTTAACATGTGAAGGTCTGTGAAATGAACCCATGTATGTGAAGTGAACACGTACTTGTATTTTTTTTTTTAACATTTTTATCCCCTCCTGTGCTAAACAGTCAGCATCTACTTGCTGAATGATTTAAGAATTTAAATTTGACATACTCTTACTATGAGGGAGTGAGACATCTGTGATGGCAGACATAGCTAAAGATTCACTTAAGTCTGGGTGTGGTGGCTCATGCCTATAACACTAGCACTTTGGAAACCCGAGGCAGAACTGCTTGATGCCAAGAAGTCAAGCCTGCACAATAAAGTGAGACTGTTTTAAAAGATTAGCCTACTTTTTAAGAAATATCAATATTATGGACCTACACAAAATGAAACTCATGGAGAATTAACGTCAGGCTGTGTCTGATTTTCATCCTGTGTTTAAAAACTTACCATATGCATCTCAAGGGTAAGGGCTGTAGTGAGGTCTAGCATATATATTATCTCTAATCCTGGGATTTCACAGGGCATTGATATTTTAACTGTTTTCACTGTATCTGGCATTCGAAAATCCCAGGTATCAAATATCCCTGTAAACCTCTTTCCTTCCATTTTCCCCTGATTTACAATTAAAAATAAGTATTTTAAACTTTCAGCTAGCTATTCAGAGGAAGTGAGTAATATAAACAAAATCAAGCATTTTGGAATGAAAAGAAGCCATTACCTGACTGAAGAAGGCCCCTCTTCTGTGAAACAGTTATTCCAAGCTCCTAACCACTCCCCAGTGTCTTTATCAAACACTTGAATTCTCTTATTTCCTCGGTCGGCAACCCACACCTAAGAAACCCAAATGGAACGTCAAATGGAAAAGATCCACAACACGAGAGGAAAGAAAAAGGAGAGGCAGAAGTGTATTCATTAGTTTCATATACACCATCTCAGTACTTAAAAGATCCCAAAGAAGAAGGTATTATAAGGAGTATTTCCTCATTTTCAGGTGAAAAAAACTAAAGTCCAGAAAGGTTAAGTGCTTATCTAAAGTGAGCTTACACATGGAAGAGGCACACTCTAACAGCCTTCTGTCTTAACCTAAGGACTATAATGCTCTATCGTACTAAACATGAGGGAATAACTAAAAAACTAAAGTACTCCACAACAATGTAGAGGATCAGCAGATACTGGGAAGTGACAACATTCATTCATTCCTTTAACAAGCGTTCGTTTTCACTGAGGGCTGTCAGCTTGTCAGTTCCTGGGCCAGGCCACAAGACAAAGAAAAGCAGCCTTACTTCTCGGGAGCTCAGGACAGCTGGAAGTGAGGTCTTCACTCATACTGCAACGTTGTTAAACCTACACCTGCTGTTAGGAAGTTAAGTCCAAAGTGCTGAACCACTTAAGGAGGAAGCATGGGGTATTTTTAGTAAGACATAAAGAGTGATAGTAGGTTTAATTTGGTTTGTTATAGGCTGTCATGGGTTACTAGGGAACTGTTGTTATAAACATGAAGTTAGATGCATGCTAAATGATATTTCATGTATTGTATGGCACACACAAAGGGAAATGGTTTTTGACAGCAGGTGGCTATGGTTGTAGAGAGGTACAAGGGAATGGACTGGAGAGGAGGGTCAACTGTGCTGACCTCCCCTTGCCCTTCGGGTTCACTGGACTTCTTGACTTCATGGATCCAGGAATGACTTCTTCAATGTTAAGCCTGTTTATATCTTTGTCAATGCAATGCGTGTGACTTGTGTTAGCCATTTCCAATGATAAACAAAGACTCAATATCCCATTTTAGGAAGGTTGCTGATGTTTGAGATAATTTCTCTAAGTACTTTCCTGATCTATGATTCTTTACTATGGATGGGTTCTGGTCAAGATTTTGGGATCACTATCTCAGACAAATAACCAAGGAAGAAACACAGTTTACACTCCAGGATGGAATGATACTTTAGGTTGTTAGCATTATCGTTCCTACTCAACACTCAGTGGAATTTGATGACAGGAAATCCTACTTAACAAACAAGTCTTTAACTCTGGAACTAATTAACTTTTCATATTGGGTTATGGAATGATTCAATGAGTTAAGCATGTAAAGTGTTCAGAATAGCATTGTTGTTTTACAAATACAAGTGTGTAGAAATTAACACTCTTTTTTGGTCACTCAGGAATAACCCCCATAATTTATTCTCAACCCCCTTAGAAGGCTGTTCCTTAGCACAGTCAATTTACCTGGGCCTAGTTCTCACTTGCTCTGAAATTTGATCTTTTCTTAGCGCACAAGAGTAATTAAACAAGTTCAGAAGAGTAGTGTGTAAAACTGTAATTCTAACTTTCTAGTTTCCAGTTTACATACAATGCTCACATGGTCAGTTGATTTCTTATGGTAGACAGGAAGATTTAATGATCAAGCCATTCTCACTTCATCAAAAAAGGAAGCCGAATCATAGAAGTTTGCTTACAGAGCACAGTATCAGAAGTGGAAGTAGATTAAATGTCTACTAGCATGAAAGCACGTAGCCTAATGCATTCACTGTGTTAAGACATTTAGTCATTTAGTGAGTATGTAAAGATGCCTACTATGTACTGGACACTAAGATATAAAGCAAAAGCAACTTCAGTATGTGCCTTCATACAGCCTGCAGTCTATACGGGAGATAGACAATTAAATGATTACAATATAGCATGATAATTACTGTAATGGAGAAGTACTGGCTACCATAAGAAAACAGGAAGAGAAACCAACATAAGCCATTTTTGCTGGGGGTTTGGTTATAGGAAGGTAACCCTAAGGAAGTGATATTTATGCCTAGAAGTAAGTAAAAGCAAAGGGGTGGTAGGGGGTGGGAGTGGAAAATAGAGAAACTGATTGAAGATTGTTGGTAAAAGCTTTCTGTTCCCTAAGCAGAGCAGACCTGGGGAGTCCCAGAATTTGCTGAGGTGGGTTTCTCTATTAAGCTTCCAAGGGTAACCTCTTCCACCCCCCTGGATTTTGTTTCAAGAATTGAAAATACATTCAAACACTTTCTGGTCGGAGGGCAACTATCTTTTTTCAAGTAACTTTATGTTGAGATGTGTTATTTGCTCCTTCTATCTAGTAAGTGATTTAGGAAATCTATTTTGCTCATTTCAAAATATTTGGGGACACCCCTCAATACAGGACCAAAACATCTGTAAGAGAGTATGTGCGCATACCCAGCCCAGAGCAATTGCCTAACACACCCACTAACACACACATGCACCACAAGCTATATATATGTGCACAGACATACACACACACACACACACTCAGACACAGTCCCAGACACAATGACATGGCATTTTTTACCCGACCAGCTGAATCAACTGTGACACTGTGAGGTATGTTGAATTTAGCAGGCCCTGTCCCATTTTCTCCATGCAGCCAAAGGATCATGAAATCTATAAATGATAAAAACGGTCAGAGAAATATATAGACTATCCTGCACGTTTGCATATTTTATGATATAAATTGCAGTAACTACTCAGTTATACCCCTGACTCACTTGACTGTGTTTTCCTGGCTTCTTGTCTATATACCCTTGTGCCTATGTCTCATGCTTTACAAAAAAAAAAATTCCTTTTCTGCTTCAAGTAATTTGATCTACTTTTTTCATTACTATCTCCACTTGAATTTTTCATAACTGCTTCAAAATTGTTTAGGTTTTAAGCCATACTTTCCCTCTAACTGGATCTCCCTCCCAATGTATCTGTTATTCAGTATTACTATTCCACTGAACTTAAAGATCCACGTTATGTTTCTATGGTCTATCTCCTTTATTACCCATTGCAGTGGATTAAACCATGCTCTAAGAGATGTCCAAGTCCTAACTCCTGGTACCTAAGAATGTGATGTTATTTGAAAATAGAGTCTTTGACGATATAATTAAGTCAGGGATCTTGAGATGAGATTATCCTGGATTGAGGGAGGGCCCTCAATCCTTATTAAGAGAGAGACACACAAATAGGCAGACAGGAAAGGGTTGTGTGAAGTCGGAGGCAAAGACTGGAGTTACGAGCCAAGGAATGCCTGAGTCACCAGATGCTGGAAGTGGCAGGGCTCTTCCCTAGAGGCTCTAGAGGGAGCACGGCCCGCCAGATTTCAGACTTCTGGATTCTAAAACTGAGAGAATAAGTGTCCATCGTTCAAAGTCACCCAGTTTGTGGTCACTTGTTATAGCAGCCACAGGAATCCAATACACTCACATTCAATCTGTCTCCTAGATTTGATTTTTTCTTTCTTGCTAAGTTTTTGGATTCTTGCTTTATTCTCCCCACTTCCCTTTAACTGTTCCTCCCAAATTCAGTTACTAAGTGATAAAGTAACTACACAGCCTCCACATGACAGGGCTCACTTGAAATAAATCCTCGTGTTTTTTTTTTTTGAGTTCGAGTCTCACTCTGTCGCCCAGACTGGAGTGCAGTGGCCGCTCCCGGCCACCGCAGCCTCGACCTGCTGGGTTCCGGCAATCCTTCCGCTCAGCCTTCTAAGTAGCTGCAACTACAGACGCGTGATACCACGCCCAGCTAATTTTTTAAAAGATTAACAGTAGCAAATATCTGTCGGGGGATGGGAAAACACTTCTTATCTACAGGGTGCCTGAATGAAACGTCATTGTACACCTAACCCTTAACTGTACCCCACAAAACCATAATAAAAAATACTGATTAATGAAAAATAAATAAATAAATAAATAAATAAATAATTTATTGTAGAGATGAGGTCTCACCAAGTTGCCCAGGCGGGTCTTGAACCCACGGGCTCAGGCAATCCACTCACCTCAGCCTCCCCATACATTATGCATTTTATAAAAACTCTCTTTCTGTAACATCACTTTCCTATTAAAACAACCTCAAAGTTTTTATAGGCAAAAATGTGGCTTTAAAAATCCTCAAATAAGCTTTCAAAACCATCCCAAATCCCATTTTCCACAGCTCAAACAGTGCCCCTGCACCTCTTTCCTGCCTAACAACTGCCTATAGCCCACGAGAGATCAGCCTGCGTGAATGCTCTGTCCAACTCTCTCTTCTCCTTCCACCAAACCCAGTGTAGCTCAATAACAACTCCCTTCGTGAAATCTTGTCCTATAATTTAGTTTCTCCTACTAATTCATATTTTGCTTTAAGAATCAATACCATAGACTACATTTCATTGTAAAACACCTAACAGGCCTGTACCTCCCAATCCTGGAGGACACAGAGAGGGCACGTAATAAAATACTTGCTGTTAGTCAGCCCGTGGGATGCCTGGCTCTGGGATCCTAGATTCCTAACGTCTCCATTCTTCGCTGGATAGAATGCTCACTTATCTCATGAGCCCACCAAGAATTCTCATACAAAGTAACTTTTGGGGGATCCTCATATCTCCTCAGTGAAGAATGGGCAGGCCTGTTATCAGAATCATTTATTGCTGGCAATCCCACTCATCTGTTTTCTAGTTTTTTCCTGCTAATACACTTTAGCTCTTTACAGACAGCTTGATGTCTGTTACATTATACCAAGCAATAAAACACATTAAATTCAATTTATACTATTTTTATAATGCCATATAAAATTTAGCCATGTACCTTGGGACAGTTTGATCAATCTGTTATTCAATCCTCCATCTCCATCCACAATGTAAATATCTCCTGTATCCTCCACATACAGTTCTGCAGGACTATCAAACTGCAGGGGATTCAAACCAGTACCTTTTTTGCCTGGGGTACCCAAGACTTGAACAAGGTCACCAAAGGAATTGTATTTTTTAACAGTATGACCATAGGATCCTGTAAAAACAGACATGTACATCTCACAAATAAAGCCACTGTACAAACATCAACATTTTCCAAGTAAGCTGAGAGCAAAAATTTGCTAGAATGAAACAGCAATACAGCTTCTTTGTAAGCTACAGCCAAAATTTGTTCATGAATTAAAATCTTCATTAGTCCAAAGTAAGTAGATTCTAAATTCAAATAAATACATCCGAAATTGACTCAATATAGAGAATGCTCATGATGTTAACAAATTGTTGGTGCATCATTTTTTTTTCTTTCCGAATTGGAGTCTCACTCCATTGGCCAGGCTGGAGTGCAGTGGCATGCCCTCAGCCACTCCAGTGTTGACTTGTTGGGCTCGGGCGATCCTTCTGCCTTAGCCTTCCAAGTAGTTGGAACTACAGGTACCCACTACCATGACCAGCTAATTTTTAAAAATTTATTTATTGTGGAGATGAGTTCTCGCCAAGTTGCCTAGGCTGGTCTCGAACCCACAGGGGCTCAGGCAATCCACTCGCCTCAGTCTCCCAAAGTATAGGGATTACAGGCTGAGCCCAGGTGGTGCCTCATTTAAAAAAAATCTTATGATCTTAAATATGCATTGCTTGTAAAACAAAATCAAGAGGAAGCTGTAGAAGAAACAACTTATGTTTGACACTGTTATTTCAATCTTTCATGTGCAGATCTTAAATTTCAGGTCAACAAAAAGTTCTCTATGCTCTATGGTACAGATTTTCTTTAAATTCTCTCCTAGTGAAAACAAATTCAAAATTCAATCCCTCAACTTTTCTTTCCTAACAAGAAAATAATCTTTCCAAATCACTAGTATCTTATTTTCTCACATTAAAATTTCTTTAAGTTAAAAATTATAAGCAAAAGCATCAAGTAGCACATTAATAAATAAAATCATAGAGCAACTTGAAGGCACACAAGACCAAACCAACTGACAGGTGTTCAAAAGACAAACTGATTTACACAGATCTAACTGGAAAGAAGGTGAATCAGCTTGCATTACAATTCTATCTTAAAGACTGTATTTATTGTTACACTTTTGGACACTTGAGAATAAGTTTGTAGCAATAAGAGAAAAAGTAAGTCTCAAAGTTTCTGAAGAACAAGCAGAAAATATAGAATACCAGTAAAGTTTTTTTGTTTTTTTTCTTTAATGTCTAATTCGTAGCCATACTTTTTTTCACTGGAGGCAATTTATTCCTTTGAAAAATAGGAACATAAATCTATCTTCAGATCTCTAGGTAGGAAAAAGTTATAATGGAAATAATGAAGAGATCATCTGTGGTTTTTTTATTTCTGGGAACCAACGAAGTCTTATTTTTAAAAAAGGATCATATGAATAGAATGAACTAAAAGTAAAGGCCTTTGACAGTGGAAGCTAGGGGGGAAACGTCAAATCTCATTATAGTACATTACAATGTACTAAGAGAAAACCCTAGATGTTTGGAGGTTTTATCAGAATATTACCATCTAAAATACAGTGTGAAATAAATGGTCATCAGCTGAAGCCCAGAAATCTTTTGGGTTCTGAGAAGAGATGTGGTAACTTATAGATACTGAAACCTCATTATTTCCAAAAAAAAAACGGTACCTGAATTAGCCAGAACTGTGAAAATAGAATGTCCTTCAACTCAAGAACATAACTGGGCCCAGAAAACTAGAAATATTGTCTTTATGATTCTTCCCTGAATTTTTAAGGTAATGCCAGGTTATCTCTGGTAATACCTTGCCGTAAGCCACAAGTACAGCTGAATTAATTGCTTTCTCTGAAAATTTTCTCCATAGCTGTACATTCGATTGTGCTCACTTCATTTTTCAGCATTTTCTACTAAAAATACTTCACAGAGGGAAGATTTCAGACATGCTTCAGCCAGTAGAATTTTTAAAACATCAACATTAGTTTCTAGAAAATTTTGTGCTTTGAGCAACAAAGCAGTTGTGATTTCTTAGCACAGTCTCTTTTGAAAGAGAGCTGGAAAAGGAAAATGAAAGTCAGCGATTCCATTCATTTGCTTTCAGAGAATGCCATTTTATTTAGCTTCAGAGAATAAGTTTAGTTACTTAGTCTGAAAGAACAATTGATGATTTTTAAAGAGGAAAAGTCCCTTTCCAAGTTCAAAGAAAGAGTATAATAATGGCCTCCTTGTTAAATTTCTTGATTCTGCTGTAGTACAATATAAAGTTTGTTAAAAACAAATGATTTCACGAATCATGAAGTAAATTACAATTAGATTTGGCAACGCTGATTTTAAACCGTACAATTAAGAGCATGGGCAAAGATGTGATTTCTAGCAAGATAATTTAAGAGAGATTACTACACATACCACTTCCTACATCCGTGATCCAGATGGATTGTTCGTGCAGTGTACTGGCTGCAAATATACCATGAGGTGTGTCAACTGTATAATTCCAGGCTCGTAGGAAATATCCATCCTCTGTGAACACTAACACCTTTGGGATGTTATCCCCTCTCTGAAGGTATACAAAAATAACTTCTTAGATAGGATCAGTTTTAAGGAAAGATAATCTTTATTTTAGCAAAGAGAAACAAAAATTAAAGCTAATTGAGAATCTTAGTAATGTTTTAAAAAACAACACCAAAACCCAACAATTTATCTTCTACATTCAAAACCAAAATACCAACCTTGAAAGCAACTCAAATGATTAGCATAATATAAATGCTTAGGGAGGCTTCCACCAGGACGGTGCCGGAGTCGGTTGGAGTGCGTTAGTCTCTGCATAAATGAGTGGGTGCAGGGAAGACTGAGCATGCAGGTGTGTCAGAAAGCAGGCATATGAGTGTCTGACCAAGTGAGGATGCAGGAACAAGCGGCTTGAGTTCTCCTGCTAAGGTTGCTGCCCTGCACAGAAACTCAGTTCTCAGCACTATCCACAGCCCAGAGACAGGCACCATATATCAGTGATTAAACCTGGAAGAAAGCAGTAAGAAACACCCACTGCCAGCGCCCGGTGCCGCCACTACACCCCTCAGTGCCAGAACAGACACTGGCAGCAGATGTACTGGAGAAAATGCACCTGAGAAACTAGCCCCTGGTGGAAGACAAGATGCAGGGCAGTCCCTCTAGCATCTGTCCTGATCTCTGCGGAGGCAGGCTCTGCCTGCCCATGTGAACAGCAAAGCTACTACCTGAGACTGAGGGGCAGATCTAGCACCTTTCTGAGGTAGATCACTGCCAACCCAAAAAAGTTACCCCAGGTTCAGTATCCCCAGAGGGTGAGGCCCGCAGAGGAGACCCAAGCGCCTCATCTTCATATCAGAAACGTGTGCAGCCTACTGCTACAACTGGAGACTAAGAACCCAGCCCACAGTGGATGAGTGGCAGTGAGTTTCACAGTGACTCAGTACTTTCTTTTATTTTTGGAGTTCGGAGTCTCACTCTGCCACCCAGGCTGGAGTGCAGTGACACCCTCACAGCCACTGCAGCCTCAGTCCATTAGGCTCAAATGATCCTCCTGCCTCAGCCTCCCAAGTAGCTGGAGCTACACACAAGTGCATACCACTAAGCCTGGCTGGTTTTTTTATCTTGTAGAGAGGAGGTCTCACCAGGATGCCTGGGCTGGTCTTGGGCCCCAGGACCTCACCTCTGTCCCTTGGGGCACTGGGATTACAGGCATGAACCACCACTCTCACTCTGCCCAGTTTCCTTTTCCCAGCAATTTGGGAGACACATGACCCAGGTGGGGAGCACCCTGATCTGCACACACTGAGAGACCTTAACACAGGCAGACCAGTTGGGGGCAATCCATAACCTCCCCTTCCACTGCATGATGGGCAGGGGGAAGATCTAGAGGTCAGAACTTCCTCTCTTCTGCCGCGACCCAAGAGCAGAGGTGTTTGGGTGACGCCTACAGAAACTACCACACGCAGGCACACAAGCATTACATTAGGTTTTTGTTTGTTTTACTGCTTCTACTTCTTTTTATACAAGGGCATATGCGAGTATGAAAACCTCCTCACAGTGTCAGTTTTAGGGTTTTTTTCCCTTTTTATTCGCATCTTTGCTGGTTTGTTTCTCCTTCTCTTCTTTGCTCACTTCATTGTCCTTTCTTCTTCCTTCTCTTTTTCTTAGTTCCTCTCCTTTTTCTTGTGTTATTTTGTATCCAAGGAGATACACACATACACATTACATGGATATACTGTAAGATGGTGGGAAGTGGGTCCCGGGGAGCCCACACCCCAGGTTAGCAAACACTGTGATCTGCAGGTAACTTTCGAATCCTACCACTCCTGACACACCTTATTCAAATCTCAAAGTGGCAAAAGGACAGTACAACTCCTCAACCCAACCTGGCTTCAAAAACCAAACACATCTGGAGGCTTTACCAAAGGAAGAATAGGGCGCTGCACAAAAAAGTGAAAACTACTCCCCCTCTCACTGAGCAATGGAAGTAAAGAGAAAAATAAAAACCCATCACAAATGAAGAGAAATCAAAGAAAAAATACAGGTACTACACAAAGTCCAAAAGGATAGTGTACAAGAATACAGACTCTGGAACTCAGTGAAGAGTGCCCAGATTGACTGGTCTCAGACCACAAAGCAGATACCAAGGAATGGTTAGAAATGATAAATAAGAACCAAGAAAGGAAAGAAGAAAATATGAAAGAATTACTTGCCAAGATGCAAGCTATAAAGAATACAGTAAATAAAATAATAAACTGACAAGCACAGAAAGCAGAATCAACCAGGCAGAAGAAAGAGAAGAGCTCTGAGAAGAGCTTGAAAAACAAAACATGGAACTAATTCAAACTGTTAAAAACATAGAAAAGCAGCTTTAAAAGATGGACCAAAGCTTTCAAGAGATGTGTGATTACATTAATAGACCAAAATTATGACTGATTGGTATTACCAAAGTAGAAAAGGAGAATGAGAGGTCGTGCTCAGTGGCTCAGTCTGTAATCCCAGCACTTTGGGAGGCAGAGGCGAGTGGATTGCCTAAGCCCATGGTTTGAGACCAGACTGGGTAACTTGGTGAGACCTCATCTCTACAATAAATCAAAAATTAGCTGGGTGTGGTAGTGTGCACCTGTAGTACCAGCTTCTTGGAAGGCTGAAGCAGAAGGATCGCTGGAGCCCAGCAGGTCAATGGTGGGGTGACTGTGAGTATGCCAAGGCACTCCAGCCTGGGTGACTGAGTGAGACTCCAACTCAAAAAAAAAAAAATTAAAAAAAAAAGAAGAAGAAGAAGAAGAAGAAGGAGAAAAAAAAAGGAAAAGGAGAATGAGAGCAACCTGGAACAAACATTCCATGAGATAATAGAAAAAACTTTCTGCATCTAATTAGAGATGTGACCATCTAAGCACAAGAGAGTCAGAGAACCCCTGGAAGGCACCAAATGAGAAAACCAACTCCTAGACACATAGTAATTCGCTCACACAAAGTAGGTATAAAAGAAAAAATCCTAATGGCAGTGAGAAAGAAAGGTCTGACTACCTACTGAGGAAGACCAGTTAGCATAACAGCAGACTTATCTACAGAAACACTACAGGCTAGAAGAGACTGGAGCCCAATCTCCAAAGTTCTCAAAGATAAACTATTCCAGCCAAGAATTTCCTGCCCAGCTAAGTTAAGCTTCATCAATGATGGAAAATTAAAATCCTTCCCAGACATTCAATCCCTAAGAGTCTATGCTGCCTCTAGACCAGAACTACAAGAGACACTTAAGAAGGTATTAAGCACAGAAGAAAGAAAAAAAAGAACACCCATCTCTTCTCAAGAATTCAGGAAAACAGAGAACCAATAGAGCATGCATCATGAATGCAAAATCAAAAACACATATATACATCAACCCCCAAGTCAAAAGAAAACCAACCAACCAACCAACAAATAAACAACAACAAAAACCCTGTAAGAATCTCATGACAGGGATAAATGCTTACCTCTCAATAACCAGCCTGAACATGAATGGACTCAATACACCACTGAAAAGACACAGAATGGTAAACTGGATAAAAAATTACAACCCATCAATATGTGGTCTCCAGGAGACACATCTCACCAGAATGGACACTCACAGACTTACAGAGGATGGAAACCAAATTTTCAGGCAAATGGAACACAAAGAATGCAGGAGTCACGATCTTAATATCAGACAAATCTTAATATCAAACATTTAAGCTATCAAAAATTTAAAAAGATAAAGAAGAACACTACACATAATGATGAAAGGTTCACTCCATCAACAAGAAATATCCATCATAAATGTATATATATAGCAAATACAGGAGCACCAGCTTTTATAAAACAGTTACTAAGTAAACTAAAAAAAGACATTGACTCTAGCACTATCATAACCAGGATAACTCACTAATAACACTAGATAGAACTTCAAGGCAGAAAATTAATAAGGAGATCTGGAATTTCAACATGACACTTTACCAAATGGACTTAATAGATCCCTACATACATTCCACCCAACAATCACGGAATATACATTCTACTCATCACCACATGGAGCATACTCCAAGATTGACCACATCCTCAGCCATAAATCAAGCATAAACAAATTTCGTAAGATTGCAATACTGCCACGAACTTTTTCAGACCACAGTGGAATAAAAATAAATATCAACATCAACAAAATGCCCCTCAAACCCACAAAGACATGGACACTAAATAGCATGAGGCTGAATGACTCTTAGGTCAACACAGAAATCAAAGCAGAAATTAAAAGATTCTGGAAACATTTGAAAATAAAGACACAGCTTACCAAATTTCTGGCATACCATGAAAGCAGTACAAAGAGGGAAATTTATATCTCTACGAACACACATCAGGAAAATAGAAAGAAAACAAGTTAACAGCCTAACAGATCACCTAAGGGAGCTGGAAAGACAAGACCACCAAAATCCTAACTTTAGCAAAACAAAAATCCAGATCACCAAATAAAAGCCCAGATATGGGACACAGAAAACAAAAATACAATAGACAAAATTAGAGAAAGATAGAGTTGACTCTCTGAAAGGATAAACAAGACTGACAGACTCCTAGTCAGATTGACGAAGAAAAAGAGAGAAAAAGCCCATATAAACACAGTTAGAAATGCAAACATTCAAGGCAGAACTGTTTCCAAATAAGTACAAAGGATTATCAGAGATTACTATGTACACCTGTATGGAAACAAAGTCAAAAACCTAAATGAAATGGAGGACTTTCTGACATCACACAACCTCCCAAAGTTGAAACAAGAAGAAATTGAGACATTAAATAGACCAATAATAACCCGGGAAATTGACTCCCTCATAAAAAACTACCTACAAAAAAAAAACAAAAAAAAAAACACCCTAGAACAGATGGCTTTCCAGCAGAATTCTACAAAACATACAAGTAGGAGCTGATACCAACCTTATTTAAAGTATTCCAGGCAATAGAAAAAGATGGAATTCTCCCCAAATCATTTTATGAAGCTAACATCATACTGATACCAAAACCAGGTAAAGATCCAACAAAGAAAGAGAACTAAAGACCAATATTCTAATGAACATAGATGCAAAAATTCTCAACAAGATTTTAGCAAATTGGATCCAACAACACATCTCAAAAATCATCCACCATAACCAAGTAAGTTTCATCCCCGGGATGCAGGCCTGGTTCAACATTCACAAGACCATAAATGTAATTAAACACTTCAACAGATACAAAAATAAGAACCATGTAATTATTTAATTAGATGCAGAAAAAACTTTTGATAAAATCCAACATCACTTCTTGATACCCTTGAACACCTAGGCATAGAGGGAACATACCTCAAAATAGGAAGAACCATCTACACGATAAACCCACAGCAAACATATGGCTAAGTGGACAGAAACTGGGAGCATTTCCCCTGAAATACAGAACAAGACAAGGCTGCCTATTCTCACCTCTCCTGTTTAACATAGTGCTGGAACAATCAGACAAGAGAAGAAAATCAAGGGTATCCAAATAGAAAAAGAGGAAGTTAAGCTGTCCTTCTCTGTGAATGATATGATCCTATACCTTGAAAACCCAAAAGAATCTGTCTTTGGCAAAGTCTCAGGGTACAAAATAAATGTGCAAAAGACAGTCGCATTCTTATACACTAACAACCAACAGGCGAAGATCCAAATAAAAAGCACAAACCCATTCACAATAGTCACACAAAAAAATGAAATATCTCGACATCTTTCAACCCAGAGAGGTGAAAGACCTGTACAATGAAAACTACAAAACATTGCTAAAAGAAATCAAAGATGACACAAATAAATGGAAAAATATTCCGTGCTCATGGAAGAACCTACATTGTTAAGATGTTCATCCTACCCTACCCAAGGCAATCTACGGATTGAATGCAGTACCCATTAAATTACCAGCAGCATTGTTCTCAGACCTGGAAATGACAATACAGGAATTCATATGGAAACACAAACAACCATGAACAGCCAAAACAATCCTCAGCAAAAAAACCAAACAAACAAACCGGGAGGCATCACACGCCCAGACTTTAAGCTTTACTATAAAGCTACAATAATCAAAACAGTCAGGTATTGGTACAAGAACTGGCATATAGACCAATAAAACAGGACAGAGGTTTTGGAAGCAAAAATCTCAATTTCTCAACCAACTCATCTTTCACAAAGCCTCCACCAACAACCACTGGGGACAAGAGAACCTATTTAGTAAATGATGCTGGGAAAACTGGCTGACCACTTACAGAAGATTAAAACAGGACCCCTGCCTATCACCATACACAAAAATCAACCCTAACTGGATTAAAGACCTAAACGTAAAACCTAAAACTATAAAAATCTTAAAAAATGCAGGAGACACCCTTACAGAAATTGGAATAGGCAACCAATTCCTGATCAATACCACAAATGTCCATGCCATAAAAGATAAGATAGACAAGTGGAACTTCATCAAACTGAAAAGCTTCTGCAAAGCAAAGGAAACCATCAAGAGAGTCAGAAGACAGGTCACAAAATGGGAAAAAATATTTGCCAACTGTATATCAGACAGGGGCCTAACATTCAGGATGTACAAGGAACTCAAATGTGCCAAAAGGAAAAAATAAACAGCCCTATTAAAAAGACATGAATAGACACTTCTCTAAAGAAGACATATGAGCAGCTAACAGATACATTAAAAAATGCTCAGCCTCACTAGTCAACAAAGAAATGCAATTTAAAACCACACTGAGATACCACCTAACTCCAGTCAGGATGGCCATCCTCAATAACTTAAAAAACAACAGATGCTAGAGAGGATGCAGGGAAGTAGGAACACTTCTATACTGTTGGTGGGAGTGTAAACTAGTTCAACCTCTGTGGAAAACAGTGTGGCAACTCCTAAAAAAATCTACTTTCCATACGACCCAGAGGAACCCAAATCATTTTATAAAAAAGATACTTTCACACACATGTGTGTATTGTGGCACTATTCACAATAGCAAAAACATGGAACCAACCATGCTGCCCACTGAAACAGGACTGGATTAACAAAATGTGGTACATATGCATAGCGAAATACTACACAGCCAGAAAGAAGGATAAAAATTATGGACTTTGCAGCAATTTGGAGGACTTAGAGTCTCAAATACTCAGTGATTTATCACAGAAACAAAGAACTGAGTAACACATGTTCATTTACATGTTCTCACTCATAAGCGGACCCTGAACATTTATCATAATAAGAAAGGGACTGACAGTAGAGGGAAACTGCAGTGCGGTGACAACTTCACATCAATAAGCGTACTTGAACTCAAACAGGGTGAAGTGGGGACTAAAGGGAGACCCAACGTTTACCCGTAAAATGACCACTTATCTACCTAATCCTGAATTGTACCCCACATCTTTAAAATAAATACATAAAAAAAATTGAAATAATATAATTGTTTAAAGTCCCACAAATGCTTACGGTTAGTTATTACAGTAAAACAGGAAGTCTGTTGTCCCCTTTGTGTTCATAGCCGGGCTCGGTGGCTCAGCCTGTAATCCCGCACCTTTGGGAGGCTGAGGTGAGTGGATTGCCTGAGCCTGCGGGTTCGAGACCCAACTGGGCAGCGAGACCTCATCTCTACAATAAAATAAAAAAATCAGCCGTATGTGGTAGCGCATGCCTGTAATTCCAGCTATTTGGAAGGCTGAGGCGGAAGGATCGCCGGAGTCCAGCAGGTCGAGGCTGCGGTGGCCGGGAGTGGCCATTGCACTCTATCTAGTCTGGGTGACAGAGTGAGACTCCAACTCAAAAAAAAAATAACTGTTTAAAATCTCAATTCTACTTACTTGGGCTACATAAACCAACCCACTGAGAGAGTCAGCTGCAACACCAAACGTTACTCCGGTAAAATATTCGGGATGTTTAGGCCAACCCAGATCCAGTCGGTAAAGAATCTTCTCAGTTCTCCAGGAAATTTGAAAAGTAAACTTCCTTAAAACCTGAAATAAAATAATAATAAGATTCAGTTTACCCGCTAGGTAAGAAAAAATAAGGGGGGATGGGGTATTTGTTAGGGTCCGGTAGGGTGAGGGTGGATGGATGGAGAGAGAGGAGAGGCACAGAGAGGCACAGCACCGCTGGAGCCGGCATGCCGGAGGTGCCATGCTGGCAACCCAGAGATCTGAATAAATGCAAAGAATTGCAACACACAGAGGTGAGAGAAGAAAAGATTTATTTAAGAAAGCTTCACTCCCACAGACAGGGAGGGGACCTACATACTAAGTGAGTGTGGTGCCGCAGGCCCCCCCCCCCAAAGTCCTGGCTTAAATCCTTTCCTTGGAGATACTGCAATCAGGTAGACATGACTGCTGTGACTTCCTTATTCATCACCTGTTGATGTCTTGGAGAACCTGTGACACAGGGACCCATTAATGTCCGCCCACATTATCTAGCCCGTAGAGAAGGGCCGTGACAAGGATTCCAGTGCTTCTGCACCTTCCCGAAACGACATTCCTTGGAGCTAATGGAGGGGGCATTTCCCTTTATCTCCTAGGCATTCCCAGTGGGTAGCTTCGAGGGATCCTTTGCTTCCCTGTAGATAGCGCCCAATTTACTAGAAGATTGAATCCCCACCTGTGGCCCGTCTGAGCTGTCATAGCTTTTGTGATTACAAGTTTTGTGACCTTTACAATCCTTGCCCAATGCATGATGTCTTAGGCCTTGTAAATTCCCTTTGCTCTAGGCAAGCTTGATTGCCGCTATGAGATACCTCTGATACCTGGTACCAGGAAGTCTGTTTCTGAAAAGACAAAGTCGGTAAAGTTAATATTACCTAAAGTGTGCATTTCTCCAAAAGCATAGCTTCTACTTTCTCATCATTGTGTTAAGGTTTAGGAAGAAGATTTTTAAAAATGCATTTCCCGCTCTCGGCTTGTCCTTTCAGTGCTGAAGCAGGGCGGGCTCATTTTCAAGCGGGCCTGGACAACCATAAGTTTGCAGGAGCAAAGAAGGAACTCCAAAGACGGGGGCTCAGACTAAGCCCACAGACCGAGATCACCCCAGCACAAGCCCGCTGCAGCAGGAGCCGGGAAAAAGAAGGAAAGGAGGGAAACGGCCACGCGACAAACTGCTTGACAAACCACAGGGTCGAGGCACCACGCCGGCGGTTCGGCACCAGGCGCGCGGGGGTGGGGTGGGGCAGGCCGGGGAGGGAGCCGGGCCGCCCTCCTCGTCCCCCGACTCCAGGGTCGCCACGGACAGAGCCACCCCACGCCCCGCGGTCCCCTCCTCGGTCCACGACTCACTGGAGAGCCGCAAAGACGCGAGTGCAGAGCCAGAAACGCGAGGAGGAAGCCAGCCCCGGCCGCGCAGACCCAGAACCTCGCCATGGCCGGACGGGGAGCAGAGCCGGGCAGGAGGGTCCACGGGGGACGCGGGCGGCGCGTGGGTGCCGAGGGCCGGCCAGGCGAGCGGACTGGGAGTGAGAAAAGGAGACGAGATGAGGCGCGAGAAAAACCCGGCGCAGTTTCCAGACTCCCAGCGCGTCTCTGGGTCCCCGCCCCGATGTCAGGCGCCGCCGGGAGGCCCGAGGCACCCCTCCCCGCCCCTCGCGGCGGGGCCCACCGCGGGCTCCTCCCTGCCGCCAAAATGGGGCGCCCGGAGATATGCCTTCACCAATGGCCGGTCATTGTTTTCAATCCAGACTGAACAACTGGAACATCTTAAACCCGGACACGAGGAAGAAAGGCGTGACGCTCAGAGAGACGAGTGCCAGGCTCTGGGAAGGACTCCAGTCACCATCGCCGCCCCATCACACAGGCACCCGCCACGGACGCCGACGTTCCCACACCAGGACCCCCTCCGCCGGCTTTCGGGAAAGCGCGGCCGAGCGGGCGTCGCGGAGTCCGGTCCCCTCGGGCGCGACGGGCTGCGTCGTAGGCCCCTGCTCGCTCTCTCGCTCGCTCGCTCGGGGGGCCGCCGGGCCACGCGCCCGGCGCTATCAGGGCCGCGGCGCTCAGGAAAACCCTGCGCGGGGCCGAGCCCCTCCCGCCGCCGCTGGGTCCTCCTCGGCCGCCGGGCCGCTCCCGGAAGCCGCGGCCGCTGCTAACAAAGAGCCCGCTGCGCCGCCCGCCGCCCGCGCCGAGGGACCGGAATCGGCGGGGG